CTCTACGAACTCAACATTCTGGTATGAGGACCAGCCCCTACTCTTTTCTGGGACAGTCACACCCACACAAGCGCTCAGACTCTCCACCTGAAGAGCACACAAGAAACATGGCATTTCGTATGCACCTTTCAAGGGCGCACACAACTTCCAACATGGCTAGCACAGACCCGTCCACGACAGCGCCACTGGGAGAGACCGTGAGGAACCGCTGCGGTACCTCGTTGTGGGCGCACAGATGCTCGCTGCAGGTCCCAGAAATCTAGGAAGTTCCTTGGAAGGAAGGGGCTCGGGTAGACCTTGAAGAAAAGGAACGTGTTACCCTGGGGGCTACAAGGGGCAAGACCAGAGCTCCGAGGGGTGGGGCCATGGGGGGGGGGGTTGCTCCTCTGGCAACTGGAGGCGGGAAGACTGGGAGAGCCTCCCTGGGAGGTTGGAGGGGCCCAGCTAGCAGCCCTGCTCCCCACAGGTCCACACAGAAGCCTCAGTCGTAGCTGCCACAACCTGGGAGCAACCAGAATGTCCCTCAGCAGGTGAATGGATACCACATGGCGGTCTGTCCAGACAGTGGAGTATTACTCAGCACTAGGAAGAAATGAGCTATGGAGCCATAAAGAGATGAGAAGGAAACTTAAATCATATCACCAAGTGAAAGATACCAATCAAAAAAGCCCATACATGTTCTGTAGGATTCCAACTCTATGACATTCTGGAAAAGACAAAACCACAGGACAGTAAAAAGTTCAGTGGTTGCCACGAACGAGGCAGGAGGGAGGAATGAGTGGAACATGGCAGATTTTCCTGGCATGAAAAATACTCTGTGTGACAGACACCAGTTAAACACTTGTCCCTACCTCATAAAATGACATCACTAAGACTGAACCCTAAAGCCAACTATGGTTTGGGTAGTCTGACACGAAACACAGGTGCATCGACTGTACCACAGGCACCATCTGGTGGGGATGCAGGTAATGGGGGAGGCTGAGGGGACAGGAGGTACATGGGAAACCTCTGTACTTTCCCCTTCAATTTGCCTTGAACCTAAAACTGCTCTTGAAGAATGGTCAGAAGCAGGTCGGAGTCCCTTTCCAAAGGACAGGAATGCAGACATACGTTAAATAATCATGTTCCACGTTCCATGTGCTGAGCAGAAAGACAAAACAAAAGGTCTCTAACTAACTACTGAACTATGCCAAATGCTTTCGGATTCCCCAAAACCTTCCCGAAGATGCTGTGAGGAAGACAGCACTGACATTTCCAACATGAGGAAACACTAAGCTCAGAGGAGGTAAGTGTCTTGTCTGAGTCCTGCAGGCAAAAGAGGAAAATAAAAATATTACAAGAACACTGACGTCAAAAGGCCACGTCGGCAAAAAGAAGCAAACCCTAAAGCTGAAACAAGGCAACAATTCCAGACCCATTTCTACTCCTTCAGAGAACCTGAGCCCGACAACATTTCACACCCGTGCTTGCAACACCTGACTTCACCCTCACAGCCATACAGCTCCGGACACCCGAGACCCTCATCCTAACTTCAAAAAAAAAAGGAACAGCAAGGACTCTGTCTCCTCACCCCCCGGGACCTCCCCAGCCCCTGGGCCTGGTACTCCTCGCTGCATCCACCACCTCTGCTGACTCAGCCCCCTACCTCCTCTAACCTGCCACCCGCCTCCCCTGTCCTTGGTTCCAGTCGTTACAGACCCAGGCGCCTGCTGTACGACCACAGCACCATGGAGCTGGAGGAGAGGTCTGTGACCTCCAATCCACTTCTCTACTGACAGAGAGGAGACGACCCTCCCAGCAGGTCCGGTGAGGACAAGTGGGGAGGCTCTCCTGATTCTGGGGCAAGAGACCTTCTACTAAGCAGGCTTCTCAAACTGGACCCAAGAAAAGCAAAAAGTATCAAATGAATGAAGTGTCACTGTAAACTATTTTGTTCTTAAAACACATAAAAGGGACATCTGGGTGGCTCAGTCAGTTGAGTGTCTGACTCTTGATCTTGGCTCAGGTCATGACCTCGGCTCAGGTCATGACCTCAGGGTTCGTGGGATGGAGCCCCACATAGGGCTCTGTGCTGACAGCGCAGAGTCGGCTTGGGATTCTCTCCCTCTCTCCCTCTCACACGCATGCTAAGTAAATAAACAAACAAACAAAAAATACACTAAAATATCACGGCAAGGAATACAACTTGCACGTGCATCTCTCCTGCTGAAGGTCGTCCCTCAAGCTCTGCACCCAGGCTGGCCAAGCCCTTAGAATTAGGAGAAAGAATCGTGCATCACACCAACAGTCCAACCTCAATATATCAGGACACTTTCAAGTTCCACAATGGAGCACCCCAGCACTCCCATCTGAGCCCTGCTTGCCTATGTTCAGGACAGACTCCAACCACCCACCTGAGGTGGGTCTCTTGCCCACCTCAGGAAGGGGTCTCTTGCCATCAAGTCAGGTGCAGGGAAGAAAACCCCTAAGAGGCAAACGAGCAGGGATGGGGGGTCAGGAGGACACAACACCAGGAAGGAACACCGTGCCACAGCAAGTTACTCAGTGGGACTCAGCATCTTAATGTCCCACCCACAACGGAACTCCCGTACAACACTGAACTCACGAGTCTCCTGCCAAATGCCTCTGTGGCCAGAACAGTCCCCCCAGGATTCACCCCCACCCACCCAACAAAATGCCCTGGGAACATCTGCTTCTTCAGAGTCCCTAAGGCATTGCTGACTGCTGGGAACAAACTGCAGAAACACCGCTCCTCCTAACCATCACTAGGAAGTGTCCCCTGGGTACTGCCCTGCCCACTTCCTCCCCTCCCTTACTGCTGCTCAGGCAGCCTCCTGCTTCTCCCATCCCTTCACTGGGGACACCCCTCAAAATGCTGCCCTCCACCTTCGGCTCTTCTCTTCCCCTCAAACCACTCTGGTTCCTCCATTCCGTGGTTCCAGAGCCTGCCAGCAGGGACTCCTGTCTGCAATCTCAATCCTAACTTGTCTGAAACTAAGCTTTTCCCCCTAAACTCAGGGGACAGTTCAATTAGTGCATGATTATTCCAAGTTTGAAACCACGGGTCATCTGTGACTCCTCCCTTCCCACCTCCTCTTCCTTACACTGCTCACCAGGTACGGACATACTTCATCCCTGTTACTAGAAAAATGAATTCCCTCTGCCCATTCGTGTGTGAGACAAGGGCAAAGACCCACCTTTCAGAATATTGGTACTAAACAAGGTTAACACCCAGCACGCTAACCAGTACATACCCGCTGCTCAGTAAGTGTTCCTTTCTCCTCCACATCTTTTCTGCAAGCTACTGTCACCCCAAACAACAGTCTTCCCGCTCTACTATGTTAAGATCTGGACCCATAAAGATGAAGTTCCGAGTTCCAGCTCTACGGTAAGTTCCATCCAATCACCTAACCTTGCCGAAGTGGCACCCTCATCTCACATAAAATTCAACCCTGTTTCCCTGGGGCTTGCATAAAAGTGATAAGCTACCCTTAGGAGTCTACCAGAAACCATCTCTGACGGTCCTCTGATCACCCAGATGACACTCAGCCACCAAAGGCACGAGAAACAGCCTCAGTTTCGACCCAGAGTACCAACACCGCCGATTCATCTTCAGTAGTCACTCAAACACCCTAAGCTTTCGCTTCTCCACAGGAGCACCAAGAAAGTCACGGCCTGACCACTGGACACTCCACCGAGAAAGTAACGGCCTGACCACTCGCTCAGGCTGTACACAATCTGTAAAGCCCGGGGAGGTATTACCAGCATTTCCATCTACCCAGGCTCAACGCTTGGCTGAAAACCTGCTTCCAATCCCGTCAAAAACTCCACCTCCCCTACAAGCCCTTTTTCCTGATTTCCACACCACGTCTCTGACCCCTTCCCGGCAATAGGCTTTGTCACACAACCGGCCTCACACAGTTCTGTCCCTGTCTGTGCTCTGTCTCCCCGACAGGAAGGAAGACGTCGCAGGAGACTCGGAGCCGTGCACTCGGACTGTGCGCCTCCAATGCCTGCGGCAACTGCGGTGTAGCACCTGCTTACTACGGGGACGCTCCTGGGCACCCGGTCGACTTCGACGCCCGTCCAGCGCTCAGCGAGTTCGCCCCCACGTGAGAGGAGGACGGCGAACACTGCCTCGAACCGCCGACTCCGCGGCCCCCCTCCCGCCTCCACGCGTCGTGCCTGTGGGGCGCACAGGTGCCCCCGGGGCGTCCCGCTCGGCCCCCCTCCCTGCCGGGCCGTCCTGGCACCTCCAAGCGCCCCGAACGCCGAGCCAGGCCCGCTCCCGCGGGACGGTAACTCGACACCCGAACGGCGCCTCGGCTTACTCGCAGGCGCGGCCGCGGGAGGCTGGTCCGGGAGGGGGGGGGGGGGGGGAACTGAGGCTGGGCTCCGCGGCCCCCACCCCCACCCGGCCCCGGGCCCGAGCCGCCCGCCGCGCGTTACCTGCAGGACCAGGGCCTGCGCCGCCCCGGGCGGGAAGCCCATTCGGTCGGACGGATGGCGCAGCAGGCGGTAGAAGTCGGTCTTGCGATAGAGGAAGCCGAAGAGCACTCGCAGGAAGTCCTGGACGTTGCCCACGTGCTGCAGGATGCCCAGCAGGGCCTGGTCGTACAGCTCGGCCGCTCCGGGCTCCATGGCGTCGCCGGCCGGAGGGACTCTGCTCACTGCGGGCGCGGCCCGGACGCCGGCCCACGGCCACTTCCGGCACGCTGCGCTAACGGCTCCGCCGCCCGGCGCGACTTCCGGTCCGCGCTCGCTCCAGCCTCCCGCGGCCGGGCCGGGTCGGGCGGCAGCGGAGCGTCCCCGCCGAGGGCCCCGCCCCGCCTCCCGGCCGGCTCTCCCGGGCGGCCCCACCAAGGGGCGGTCTTGGGCCCCGAAGTGGCTGCTAGGCGCGGGAAGGCCCGGGGCGGCGGGACCGAGAGCGCCCGGCAGCCATGTTGCAAGCGGGCGGAAGAGGTTCTGTTCGGGCAGCGTCATGTGATCCCCTGTGTCGTCACGAGGTGGGCGGGGCGCCGCCCTTTGCCAGTGGGGAGGCTGGCGGGTCGGTCTGGATGGGGCTGGCGGTGTGTCAGGCTCCCAGTGACGTGCAGGCCGAGCGAGCGCGACGTGTGGACGCGAGTGTGGCAGAATCTGTGAACACGCGCGGCGTGCATCGTGTCCTCAGTGTCTGTCACTATAATCCTCATTCAGGTACCCGATAAACATACGCCAGAGGACTATCGAGTTAACCGAGTAACCAGTAATATGGTAAAGCGGGTCCCAAGAGTATTGGCAGGAAGCGGGTATTCATAAACATTTCGAGGAAACCGAGTAAGATCGTTAGGATGGGTACAAAGCTGGCCGGTGTCCCGCAAAATAATAAAACCGTAGGTTACCTTTTCTACTGGATACAAATGATTTCCATGACAACTGGACTAAGGTCTGCAAATGAACACCTATCTTCAGAGTCAACGGGCTCCAATTAATTGTAAATAAAGTCAGAACCAGAACCAGATAAATCACCCTAGGGCAATGGTCCTGAAACCTCTGAGTCATTTACACTCCAGGGGAACCTGGGTGGCTTAGTCGGTTAAGCATACCACTGGATTTCAGCTCAGGTCATGATCTCACGGTTTGTGAGAGCCCACACTGACAGCGAGGACTCTCTCTCAAAATAAACTTTTAAACTTTTGGGATTCCCCCCCCCCCAAAATAAACTTAAAAAATTAAACATTTATTGAAGACTCCAAAGACCTTTGATGTGGGTTGTGCTTATAGTTACCATAGTGTGTTATCATTTTCCTAATGTTTATTTTTGAGAGAGAGAGAGAGAGAGCTCAAGCAGGGGAGGGAAAGGGAGAGAGGGAGAGAGATAATCTTAAGCAGGCTCCATGCTCAGCGCAGAGCCCAACTGGGGGCTTGATCACATGACCACGAGATCATGACCTGAGCTAAAATCAAATGAGTTGGACTTTTAACTGGCTAAGCCACCCGGGCACCCCCACATGTTAACATTTTTGTGAGGAAATAATGTTCTTCAAAGCAATGAAGTGTAGCGAGAAGCGTAGCATAGTTTTACATTTCTGCAAATCTCTTTAATGTCTGGCTTAATTGAAGACACCAAGATTCTCACATCTTTTGCCTGCACTGAATTGCAGTATGTTGTTTTGATTGAAAAATACGAAGAAACTCAGTCTCACACAGATTGTAATTGGAAATGAGAGGAATATTTTAATTGTCTTTTCAAATAAAAGTATTTTTTTTAAACCAAAATTGAACAGGTGGTAGTTTCTCAACAGTGGTAATACGGAATCTGAAACAATATCCATACCCATGGTATGTCCTGCACTTTGAATGGATCTTTTATATGCATGGTTTTGTAACACCAGACTGGAATGCAGAACGTGACAAAACAATCGAACTGTGTTACAAATGTAAGAAGCAGTGAGGAGGATGGTAGGAAAACACGCTGGACTAAGTGACTTTGGAAATGAATGGAGTCTAAGACAAAGGGCAAAAGGAATGAAAAAGGGCCGCTTCGCTCTACAGCTGTTTGCCATGGCAGTGTGGGCTGTCATCTCTGAAAACACTAAGCATATACAGTGGAAGGCAACAATTAGGCAGATCGAGTTGAGGGTAAAGCCAGGCTTCTTGCTGTTGGCAGGAGAGGTTACAGAGAAGCAAGGGAGAAGTCTAGAAGTATTCCTGAGGTGATGAATTCCCCCTGGAGGCATCAGCAGGAACTCCAATTTAGCTTAACACAGCTATAGATGGCTACGTATAGGAATATTTCTAGAAATGTGTACATATAGGGGCGCCTGGGGGGCTCAGTCGCTTAAGTGTCCGACTTTGGCTCAGGTCATGCATGATCTTACCATTCATGGGTTAGAGCCGAGCGTCGGGCTCTGTGCTGACAGCTCAGAGCCTGGAGCCTGCTTCGGATTCTGTGTCTCCCTCTCTCTCTGCCCCTGCCCCGCTCATACACTCACTCACTCTCTCTCTCAAAAATAAACATTAAAAAAAACTTTTTTTAAGAAATGTGTACATATATGTGTGGGTTCACACACACGTATATTTCCTTGTTGTCTCAGCTGAGAGAGCCCAACAGCAACAATGCCCCAGCAGCAAAGCACACATGGAACACCAGATCCTGGGTTCTAATCCCATCTCCAGTAGAACGGCCAGGGCTCCTTGGAGAAATGACTGATCCTAGGACCGGGGCAGAAAATATACAAGCTGAGCCTGGACCAACTCGTAGTGCCAGAAAGCAAGGTAAGTGCTCAAATTGGGAAAACTCTCCATGCTGGGGGTGTGACAAGGGACAGGAGCCAACAGAAGGAGCCCCCTGGGGGGGGGTGCCTGGGGGGCTCAGTTGGTAAAGCGTCCAATTCTTGGTTTTGGCTCCGGTCATGATCTCAGAGTTTTGTGGGTTCGAGCGCCGCATCAGGATCTGCACTGGCAGCACAGAGCCTGCTTGGGATCCTCTCTCCCTCTCTGCGTGCCCCTTCCCTGCTCGCGTTGTCTTTGTCTCTCTCAAATAAATAAATAAAACTTGAAAAAAAAAAAAAAAGCTCCCGATATCCCAAGCTGGAGCGATCTGAGCAAGAAAATAAAGTAGTGCCATATTAGAACGCAAAGCACAAAAATGAGTATCCACGACTCCATACTGTATATGTCATAATAAATAAATAGATGCAGGAGAATAGACAATCTTTCTGTTAAGAAGAGTTCCAAATTTATGTAAATACTCCACCCTCCAGAAGGTGGGACGTAACTCCCCACTCCCTAAGTGTAGGCTGTGCAGAGTGACTTCCCTCCAAGATGCACAGCACGGACAGTGTGGACAGGGGCAAAGGATAACTGTGGAAGAGATGCCAGGCAGACATGACCTTGGCCAGATGAGGAGACTCAATGCCAATGGTGGGAAGTCATGGGGACAGTGTGCACCCCTTACATGTGCCAAGAAGGGTGCTGCACCTCTGAGGTCTCCCTGCCAAAAACCCATAACCTTGGTCTAATCGGGAGAAAAACACCAGACAAATTCCGTTAGAGGGATAGACATTCTACAAAATGCCCAACCAGTCCTCCTCGAAACCGTCAAGGTCATCAAAAACAAGTCTAACAAACTGTCACAGCCAAGAGCCTAAGGAGACGTAACAACTAAATGTCACATGCTCTCCTGGACAGGATCCTGGAACAGAAAAAGGGACACTAGATAAAAACTAAGGAAATCTAAATAAAAGTATATACTTTAGTAGTAATTATCAATACTGGTTTATTAATTGTATATTGACAAATGTACCATACTAATATATTGATAGGGTAAACTGGACATGAAGTATGCAGGAACTTTCTGTACTATCTTTGTAATTTTGCTGTAAATCTAAAACTATTCTAAAATTGTAAAAAGGTTTCTTTTGAAAAATGTATTTAAAAATGATTATCACCCACAATGCTACCCTTTCCCCCAAAGAGCAAGTGGACATACAGTGTTGTTGGTACGGGGAGGGAGGCCCCTCACCGAGGCCGGTGGGTGGGGTGTGAATAGGGCAGCGCTTTCCAGAGGCAGCTGTGGGTCCCCTGCAGTCCCTCGGCAACACTGCCTCCAGGCAGCTCTCCCACACCTACAGACACATCAATGCCTGCTCAGCCTCACAGAGTTTCATCTTCTGCACCTGAGATCCCCTTGGTGTGATGAATTTCAGAATTTAGAAGGTTTTTAGGAAAGTAATTTGATGCTTACGCTGCCTTAGATATTACCCCCCATCAGGGCCCGGGGCCGCACACAGCACACAAAGTCACAAACGTGCCAAAATATCTGACCGCTCACATCAAGGAGACAAAGGGCGTAAGGACCCCAGTCGTAAAGGTGTAAATAAACACCTCTCATCTGGTCCAATGAGATTGTCCCAAATGTACAAGAGAAAAAAAGCAAACGCAGTTTTCAGAGATTTGGGGATTTGGAGATTCCACAGAAGTGATTGGCGCTGTACTGGAAAACAACTGGGACCAATCTGCCCACCAGCAGGGAACAGACAGAATCATGGTGTTCGTGGGGCCAGGCCGGCTCAGTCGGTGGAGCACCTGACTCTTGATCTCAGGGTTGTGAGTTCGAGCCCCACAGTGGGTGGAGGGATTAGAAATGAAACCTTTAAAAATAAAGCAATCGTGCTCATTCATGCAATGGAATAATCCAGGGCAGTCGCAGTGACTGGACCACAGGGACCAACGTGAATAAATGCAAAATGCATGGGGCATGGGGGAAGCTAGTGAAGGGATGTGTCAAGTCATTTACGGAAGACGTTTAAACGTGGAATGATACTCTATCTCTGTTCACATATAGACACGGAATTAGAGTGTAAAAACCTGCTCCGGGAAGACATACGTCAACTTCAAGAGACAGGAACAGACCACACCCATGCTGCCACATGCCTCCTTCATCCTAATCTTGTCCTCCTGGGTCCCACCTGGTGGCCAGAGACCAACCACCCGCCTTGGGCACTCCCATGGCCACTGCCTCTCCTAGGCCCTGAGTGGGAGGACAGGTGAAGGGACCCCCATTAGGGAAGCTGCACAGCCCCAGGGGTCAGGGCTGGTGAGCCAGGACAGGAGCTCCGGCCTCCTCAGAACTCCTGCCCACCGCGGGACAGAGAACCGACAGCACCACCCATGCTCTTGGCAGGATGTTCAAAGCCATGGTTGATGTAGGTGCTGCTGGCTGTGGATGTCGGGGCCTGGTGGGTCGGGCAGGAGGCCACCCTGGCCCTGGCGGCCTCCTCCATCTTCTGCTCCAGCACTAGAGCCACATTGACATCGGGCCCTGCAGAGGAACAGCCCCAGAGGCCCAAGATCAGGGAGGCCACATGCTGGGCAGGAGATGGTGCGGGGGTGGGGGAGGGCCCCCTGGGTTGGGACTGCTGGGAGTGGGTGGGGGAGGGCCCCTGGGTTGGGACTGCTGGGAGCGGGTGGGGGAAGGGCCCTGCTGTGCTGCAGGCCAGCAGGTGCGGGAAGGCCTCTGGGCACTCACCCACGAAGCTGAGGACGACTGGCAGGAAGACCAGGCCGTGCAACAGGCCCAGCAGGGTGATGAGGAGGTTGAGGCGGAAGAAGAAGATCTGGATGAGCTGCGCCTTGGCCAGGCCCAGGACGAGGATGCCCGGCAGGTTGGTCATGGCCACGCCCGCGAACACCTGGGGGTCACAGGCCCCGTGAGACGGGGGCACAGGGTGGGGGGGGACGGGAACTGCAGGGGGGTGGCCGGCCCACTCACCGCGCTGCCCATGAAGATCGTGGCCTCCTTGGCCCTCTCCAGCCGGGTGAGCCGGGTGCTGATGGCAAAGGCGCGGGTGATGTGGGACACAAACTCCACGGAGATGCCCACCGCCTGGGGGCAGAGAGGGGCGTTAAGGCATGCGAGGGCCGGGGCGTGGGGTCTCTGGAAGGAAGCATAGTGTCCGGCGTGGCGCATTACCGTGACCAGGTTGATGAGGGACACGGCGTTGTAGCTGATGCCCCACAGGGCCATGAAGCCCACAGTGTCCACGAGGATCATGACGATGGAGAACAGGTTGAGGAGGCCGGAGCGCAGGTCCATGCCCAGCAGCAGGCAGCAGACGGCGAACGTGGGCAGCAGGCACATGGCAAGCATGAAGAGGCCTTCGGGGACCACCATCAGGTACTGCTCGTAGAACACGTTGGTGATCCTGTGGGCGGGGCAGCGGAGCGCTGTCACCGCTGGGGGCTCGCCACTTCCCGCCTCTGGCTCAGGCTCCAGGCTCCCCGGGGACCCTCCCACCCCTGCCATGGGCCTCACGTGTAGGGGAAGACCTCGAAGGCCGGGTCGGTGCCCGGCACCTGCCGCAGGTGGGCGGTGATGTTGGCCGCCAGTGCACGTGCCGCCCGCAGGGCCTCCGTGTAATCCTGTGAGTTCCGCAGTGGCTTGTGGTAGGCCATGAACCTCGAGGCTGCGCCCCCGCGAGGCCAAGGAAGGTCAAGGTCACTGCAGGCGCCCTCAAACCCCAGGGACACTTGGGGGATGGGGCTGGGCAGCCACCAGGATGGAATTCTTAACTTGTGAGCGAGGGGCCCTGCCTTTGGGGGTTGCACCCCTGTGGGAGGCCCACCCGGCCTGACTGCCACGGGAACAGCCTAAAGACACCAGGATAAACCCAGATGCTGTTGTCCGGGGTTTCAAAACATGCATCGGATGTTTCAGATTAATTCAATTACTTTTTCAATGTGCGTCTTCCTAGAGGGAAGATCCAGAAAGGGAGACAAAACCCTGCAAGTAGTTCACCTGACAGAGCTGTGCTGTGGGTGACCCCTGGGCAGGTGCAATAGCCATTCGCTTAACCAGGTGACCGCCTCTGGGCGTGATTTGTGCATGTGAGGAAGGGGTGTGGGTGGCTTGGTGCGGCATCAACTGGTGAGAGTCTGTGAATGTCTCACTGACTGAGGATTTGGGGCAGGGCGTGGGGGAGAAAAAAGCAGGGCACACAGGGGTAAAGTCTGAGAACGTGAAGCCGGGTAACACGACCTCTGAGGACAGGACCAGGGCAGGCCAAAGCCCCCATGAAGGAGGGAGGAGAGAAGACTGGAGGCTGAGAGGCTCTTCCCCGGGGCTTGCAGCAACCCGCCCCCCTGCCCCCGCCACTGCCCTGGGAGCAGCTGACTCTGGTCTTCCCTACCAGGTGAGGTCACGCTTACCTAAAACTTGGTTACCAGGTCCCAAATCCACGGAGGTGCTATACGCTGCCAGTCCACTGCCAGAAAGTCAGAGCGAAGGCTTCATCAATGCCATGGCCACACTCGGGGACCATCCCCCGCCAGCACCCACCCCAGGCTTACCCTTTGGGACACTTGATGTTGGGTGGGTCCTCCAGGAACCAGGGCAGGTATTTGTGGAACTGGTCCACTGATGGCCGGACGGGGCCCAGAGTGAAGTTCACACAGCTCTTCAAGCAGGCCAGGGAGTCTGCAAAGAGAACAGGGGCTCTGGGCAGAGGCGTCACCCCCCCTCTGGCTCCATTCCCACCAAGGTCCCCACATACTTCCACCACCCAACAGCCATGTGACACGTGTGGTCTGGAGGGGTCTGCCCTTGTCTCTGTAGGACAGGGCTGTGGAAACTGCTGGCAGCTGTAGGCAGGTGAGGAAGAGATGTGCAGGGCAAAGAAACAACCCCCTTGGGCCTCCCCACTTCCCCTACAAGCGCAGCTGCTCTGGGACCAGAGCCACATGCTAATCTGGCCCTCCACCACCCACCACCCTCAAGTGTTGGTGTGCCCAGAGATCACCACTCAGGGGGCGCCTGCACAGTGGGGCGTGGTCACCCACACATGTGCTCTGAGCCCACACTCCCACCCCAATCGACCCTGCAAGTGGGCCTCGCCAGTCTGCTCCTCTCTTGCCTCAGTTTCCCCAAGCTGTGTTAGGTAGGCCATGAGCCCCCAGAGGCCCTGCACTCACTAACGGTCGAGGGGCAGAATTTGTCTTTGTTGGCACCAAAGGCATACAGGCGGCAGCAAGAGGACGGGGTCAGCCAGTCAATGAAGTCATCCACCCAGGAAGAGGCAGGGATGGCCAGGTAAGACCTGAGGGCACATGGAGAGGAGGCTGGGGTAGGGGGACCAGGTGGGCAGTTCTTCTGGTGGCCCCAAGGTACTGGGCTTCCTCGGAGAGTCAGGAGGGGGCAGCTGGCCACTCACTCGTCGGGGAACTCAGTGGCGAACTGTATCTTCTGGGTTAAGGAGAAGCTGTCGCATCCTGCGCTCGAGCAAATGGCATTCATTCCTGCCTCACTGGAGAAGTTGTAGCCTCCAGTGGTGACGAAGTAGACTGGAGCCCCCACCTCAAAGTAGCGGTTCAGAAAGAGGAAATAGTCGAGCAGGTAGGAGTCCTGGAACAGAGGACGGCCAGTGAGGCTGGGGCCAGACTCACCCCAGGGGCGCACTCCAGCTGGTGCTCACGGAGGTCTGCCGCACACCCAGGGGTGCGATCCAGCTCATGCTCACAGAGGTCCGTACACACTCACAGAAGTGTGTGCAGGAGGTACACACATGGGCGCACCTGCTCATAGAGACGTGCTCACAGAGGTGCGTGTGCACATCGTATCCTAATCACCAGTACACACACAGAGCGACATACTCCGCCCCACGTGAATACACTCTGACAGGCATACAAACATGCATGCACGTGTAACACGATCCCTTCCTATTATCTCCCTTCCAGCACAGCCCACAGGCGTGTGCACGTGGAGACAGGTGGTGTGTCAGGCACCTGCATGGCCTGTTCCTTTCTCCCAAAACCTCTGAGCGCTGGAAGAGAAGACGGAGTACGAGAAGCCAGGAGTCCACCCCCGCCCCCAACCTAGACACAACTGCACAACCCATCTGATGGGGTCTGCAGCCCTGGGGGCAGTTGAGGGCTCACAGCTTCCAGGGAAAGGCCTGGATGGTGAACTGTGCTTCGTGTCAACACCTTCAGCTCCCAGAACATGCAGGTGTCCCAGGGGCAGTTTGTATACCGCTTGCGGGGTCCAGCGTGGGACATAAGGACCCCACACTCTATACATGGCAGATTTGCGTTCTGATTGCCGGTCACTGAGCTTCTGATCTCAGTGGTGCAGAGTCAGGCTGTACCGTGGTCTCCCCCGCCTCCAGCTGGCCCGACTGCCAGGATATTGAAATGGCAAGTGACTGGCTTATTTTCCGCTTCATGTTTCCCCTTTTTCTTTTTTGGGGAGCCAGCCATTTAAGGAATAGGACATTCAAACGCAAATACCGAAGTCATCACACATTACCAGGGAAAGGCACAGGCTCATCAGACTTTAATTTTATACCACAGGCTAATCTCCCGGACACAGACACAGCAACGTCACATTTGGGGGAAAAAAAAAAAAAAGCAAACCTTAGAGAAGGGAGGAGAATCTGATCTTCAGAGTTACCATATGATACAACTCAACTGTGTGTTTTTCAACAACAAAAATCGCAAGACACACAAAGAATCAAAGTGTGGCCCATACCTAGGAACAAAAACTAATCAACAGATGATCTTGAGAAAGAACAGACAGAAACTTTAAAACATCTGTCTTGGGAACGCTTACAGAGCTAAAATAAGATACGGACAAAGTCAAGAAAAGAAAGTATGGACAAAGTGGAAAGACCACCAAATAGAAGACATAAAACGGAGACCAGGAACAAATTCCAGAGCTGGAGAGAAGGAGAAATACAGGAAAAATTCTGTTCATAGATGACATGATGATATGTATATAAAACTAACATTCCACCAAAAAACCCCTTAAAACTGGTAAAGAAATTCAGCAAAGTGGCAAGTTACAAGATCAACACGCAAGAATCAGTTTCATTTCTATACACGAACAATGAATAACCCAAAAAGGAAGCCAAGGGAAGTGCAGTTATAAGAGCATAAAGCAAATAAAATACTTAGGGATTAACTTTACCGAGGGTGGAAAGACCCGCATGCTGACAGCCATGCCATATCTCAGAAAGAAATTAAGACACAAATAAATGGGGAGATGCCTGTGCCCACGAGCTGGGAGGATGAATATTATCCAGGCCACCAAGGAGCCTCCAGCTTCAGTGTGATGCTATCAAGATCCCAATGACGTTTCTTACAGAAATAGAAAAATTCATCTTAAAATTCATAAGGGACTCCAAAGAGCCAAAATAATCTTTAAAAAGAATAAAAGTTGGAGGACTCACATTTCCTGATCTCAAAACTGACCACAAAAGCACAGTAATCTAAGCAGTGAGGTGCTGGCATAAAGACAGACACACAGACCGATGGGACAGAAGACAGCCCAGATGTAAACCCTTGCGTGTATGGCGACATAGACTCTGACAAGGGTGCCAAGACCATTCTGTGGGGAAGGGGAGTCTCTTCAACGCTTGCTCCTGGGGACACGGGACGTCTACACACAAAAGAATGAAGTTGGACCTTCAAAAATATACATAACTATGCACAAAAATTAACTCCAACGGACCCAACACTTAAGGGCTGAATTTGTAACTCCCGGAGAGGAAAGCACAGGGGAAACCTTCCAGATACTGGGTTTGGTGATTATTTCTTGAATGACCCCAGAAGCCTGGGTAACAAATGGAAAAATAGGCAAATTGGAATTGATGAAAACTTTAAAAAGTTTTTTAAGAGGTTTTATTTTTAAGTAATCGCTACTCCCAGCACAGGGCCTGAACTCACAACCCCGAGATCAAGAGTTGCACACTCCGACTGGGCCAGCCAGGTGCTGTGAGAATTGAAAACTTCTGTTCATCAAAAGACATTTCTGATAGAGTAGAAAGGCAACCAACAGAAGTGGAAAAGACATTTGCCAATCATGTATCTAATTAAAAATACTCAGAATATCTAGAGAATTCCCAAAACTGAGCAAAGAGACAAACAAACAAAAACAACCAATCTGATAAAAAATGAACAAAAGACTTAAACACACATTTCTCCAAAGAAGACACACAAATAGCCAATAAACATATGGAAAGATGCTCAGCATCGCTGATTATCTGGGAAATGTAAATCAAAACCTCAGTGAGATGCCCCTTCACACCGGGCAGGATGGTACTATCAAAAGGGGGGGTGGGGGTGCCTGGGTGGCTCTGTCAGTTAAGTGTCTGACTTCAGCTTGGGTCATGATCTCACAGTTGGTGGGTTCGAGCCCTTCGTCAGGCTGTGCTGACAGCTCAGAGCCTGAAGCCTGCTTCGGATTCTGTCTCCCTCTCTCTGTGCCCCTCCCCTGCTCGTGCTCTTTCTCTCTCTCTCAAAATAAATAAATAAAGTTAAAAATAAATTACAGTTAGCGTTATCACGTGGCCCAGCAGTTCCTCCTCTGGGAACACACCCGGAAGAATGGAATGCAGGTTTGGAGAGAGATCTCTGTGCACCTGCATCTGCAGCAGCCTCATTACAAACGCTGAGACAGGAAGGAAGCCTTGTGCAGAGACAGGGGTAAAGACAATGCAGAGTGTGTGTGTATGTGTGCGCGCGCGCATGAATGTGTGAGCATCGTCAGCCTTGACAGGAAAGGACGCTCTGACACCGGAGAACCTGACGCCGAGTGGAAGGAGCCAGACACAGAAGGACACGCACTGAAGGGGGGGGGGGTCCTGAGAGGGGTCCAGTCCACAGAGACAGAGAGGACACGGTGGGTACCAGGGTGGGTAGGGCAGGGGGAGTCGGTGCAGTCACCCTCGTTGCCATCCTCCTCAGATCCTTCGCATGCCTCTCTTCCACTCACGAGGCCATCTGGCCCCTCCAGCCATGGAGGTCTTACCTTCCACAGAGCCCCTGACCTTCCGTGTCTCCTGGGCCCGAGGAGGTGGTGTGCCAGCACAGGGCAGGCATGAGGTGAGCCATCAGTCACTCTGCCTGGATGCTCGCCCCACACGGCCAGCCCCCCATGGCCTGCTTCTGCCCCCCAGGAGCCTTGGGGCTGGCGCCGCCCCTGTGCATCCACACACCGGCTCAGCTGCTCTCCCGGGTCCCCGTCGTGAACAGCCCCACACTGCCTACCAGGTCCCCCCGCCCACACCTGGCCCCCGGGGGTGTGCCCTGTCCCCCCTGAACCCTGGGCCACCGAGCGGAGGTCACAGGGCACAGCTCACCTTGGGAAGGGCCAGCTCCTGATCCAGCCCCACACTGGCCTGGCACATGAGGTACAGCCCGGCTCCAAACAGGCCCGTGAACAGCAGCAGCTGTGGGGGGGCGGGGGGGCAGGGGGGGCACTCTGGAGCTGGGCCGATGGCGTCCCAACCACCCCGCACACAGGCGAGCTCGAGGTCCCTGCGGGCAGGCAGACCCTCCCGCTCCACTCACCACAACCACACGTGTGACCCGGTGCAGCAGGAGTGGGACATAGACCTTGCGGAAGAATCGCAGCAGGAGCCCCTCGCTTTGGCCCGGGGGGGGCAGCTCCCGAGCGCCAGCACAGCAGCACACATCCATCCTGGAGGCCTGCAGGGGTGCAGGGTGGGGGGACATGCTAGCGTGCTGTGTTCTCAACTTTTACTTTCCACGGTGATGAAACACCGCCACACTTTGCACTGTCCCTCTCAACATCTCACTTCTAGCTTTTCTTGGCCCTTTGTACCTTGCAGATTTGATCCTATTCCCCTAAGTTATCAAACCAAACTTGCTTCTCCGTGGGGTCCTAGGGACTGCGTGGCCCGCACAACCCCACATGCCTTCCCTGCACCCAGCCCCGCTCTGTGAGCCGGCTCTGCCGGGCAGGTCCCGGGTCCTGCCCCAGCCCTACCTCCTGCCGCCTACTGTCCAGGGACAGCAGGGCCACGAAGGCTGACACCTGCAGCAGAAAGTCCAGGATGACAGCCAAGCCGGAGGTCAGGGCGAAGGTCCTCACCGCTGGCATGGGGGTCAGGGCCCCTGGGGGTGCAGGAGTAAATCTCAGGGCGCGGCATCTGCTGCCACAGTGGAGGGAAGGGGCCGCCCACACGCACCACCCCGGTGGGGAGGGGCTGCCCAGCCTCACCGAGAAAGAAGCAGATGGCCTCAGACAGGCTGCAGAGCAGCATGCTGGGGGCCACCCTGCCCAGTGCGCGGCCGATGTGGTCCTCTCGCCGCTCTCCAGGCCTCCGCGGCAGCCTCTGTGTGGGGACACCAGGGACAGCATCCAGGGCCAGCAGGGAGGGCACAGCCCTGGCAGGAAGGCCCTGCCCCAGTGAGGAGCAGACCCTGCGAACACCCTGCTTCTCAGGGTCTGGCCGGGAGATGTGCTTGGCGTGTTCCAGGCCATGCACGGCACACTCCTTCCAATACATCCCTGGGTCCCTAAAAGTGCACCAGTGGGAGAGGCTAAATCCATGGGGATTGCATGTCCGTGGACTGCTACAGAGGAGGCCAAGTAGTGCCTCATGACGTTCAGCACAGGGCAAGGAGACACATGCGGTAGGAACGCATGTGTGTGCAAGATACAGGATGCTCCGTTTTGCACAGACTGTGGACACGAATGCTGGTGCAGAAGAGGAGTGCGCCAGAGGCCCAAACCCGTACAGGGCTGGGTCTGCGAGAAGAAGAGAGCCCCGCCCTCTCACCTGGTACTCGAGCACTAGGATAAAGATGTTGTCAGCACCCACGGCCAGCACCAGGAAAGGCACCACCTGCAGGATCACCAGGGAGGAGGGGATGCCCAGGTACGAGAAGAAGCCCATGGCTGCCGTGACTGCTCCCAGCACCACGGCCACCCCGCCCAGGCCCAGCGTGGCCTTGGCATCCACCTGCAATGGAGCGGGGTTCAGTCTCCTCAGCTGCCCCAGGTGCCTCCCACCCCGAGCTGGAGAAGGGTGGCAGGCCTGGGGCAGGCGTGCTGGGGGTCTCTGCGTTCCCGCATCCCCCAGCACAGGTCCTGCCCCAGGAGGATGGGAATCGATCATGAGGCCTTTTGAGCAGAAGTATCACTCCTTGGGGAGCCACTGCGGGGATGTCTACAGGTTGCTCTGTGGAAGGTTCTGGATGCCCCGACAGGCAAGCCCACCCCACTGGGCCCCTCCAGATCCTTACCGCCACCCGGCGCCAGCTGGAGTAGCTGCCCAGGGCCAGGGAGATGTACAGGAAGATCACAATGTAGCTGACCCCGAAGACCGGCAGGTCCTGGGCCGTGGTGCGATTGATCTCGTCCTCCAGGGAGCGCTGTGGATGCACACCCCCCCGGCCCCGCTGACCTGAAGGCTCCGTGAGCCCAGCCAGGCCACTGGGTCCTGTCTTCCTCGTGGGCAGCTGCAGGCCCAGGGTCGCCCGGGGTGGGGGTGGGGGGGTCCAGGAGGGGGACACGGTGACCCACCAAAGCCACCTGGGTCGCCCGCCCCTCCAGAGGCAGGGAGCCTGAAGCCTACCTCCGCCATGAATGTGACCTGGAACCTGCCGGCTGTCCGCTGCTGGAAAGCTCTCATCGTCTCCAAGAAGGCCCCCTCCCAGAGCTTTGCCTGTGCCAGCCGGGAGTCCCGAGGGGCGTAGTTGTTAAGGGAGAAGGTCATGATCAGGGCCTCTGCCTCAGAGTAGTCTTTCCCTGGGATAAGAAATGTTCAGCCACCCTCCTTCCTCACCCCTGCTCCCCTCCCCACTCCAGCCTCACCTCTGCTCACTCCAGCTCCATTCCCCCACTCCAGCCTCACCCCTGCTCCCCTTCCCCCTCCAGCCTCACCCCTGCCCCCCCCGCCTCTAGCAGCACCCCTTCGTCCCTCCCCAACCGTCCATATCCAAGTCATTGTCTTACCCCTCCACCCCACTTCCCTCTTTTAGCCAAGGGCAAGCCTGTGAAGTCAGGCACAGAACCAGAGGGCCTGAGCAGGCTGGGAGAAGATGAAAAAGGTAGCAGTCCTTTGGCCCCAGCCAGCCCCCCACAAGCCTGGCCACCCCAGGCAGTGAGAGCCCATCAGTATTCCCACCCTCCCACCCACCGTCCCTGCCCCATATTGCCTCCTTACTGGCCTTCCCCAAAGCCACCCGGCTTACCTCTGTAGCCCCCCACAGCAAGAAAAGGGAAGACAGGGCCCCCGTAGTCAGCCATGCAGCTCAGGGCTAGGGCTGTGCCGTCCTTGAAGGTGAGAGGGGCACTGGGGGGAGAAGGAAGGACCTTTCCTGGCCCCGTGCCCATTGCCAGCCCCAGACTGCCAGCACTGTCCCCTGACCCATGGTCAGAACCACTTTTCCCCAAAAAATTTCCCTCAGCCCGACCCAGAGTGGAGCAGAGCTCTGTGACCAGGGCTGTGTGAGCTCTCCCTTCACACCTGCTGACTCTGCAGGCTCGAGACCACATCCCAGACAAGGCAGGTCCATGAGCGTCACACACGTGGACTGCCGGGGGTCACCAGGACTTAGCCCTGGGAATCTGGCACAAGCTCCACTCCTACAAGACAGCCTCGCAGTGTTCGGCCTGTCCCCCCGCCAGCCTGGAACCCCCAGGCCCTGAGACCAGATCTTCCTTTCTGTGCACAAATTACTAGCCCAGACCCCTTGGACATGTCTCTACTGAGCCTTCCTGCAAGTGCGTGTCGGGTACCCTGACAAAGTGGTCTTTGTGAGTGAGCACATGGGTCACCAGCTATCCTGGGCATGCCGGTTGCTATGTGACCTTGAGCAGCTCACCACACCCCTGGCCCTCAGTTTTCCTGTCTCTGGAATGGAGATAATCAGACCACCCCAGAGATGTTGTGAACATCCAAAATCAAAATAATGCCAACACAAGGACTGGACCTGGGGACAGAGCTCCTTCCCTGACTCGCCAGTTCTGAGCGCCAGCCAGGACCAAGACACCAGTTCTGGGAAGCAGCCCAAGGGGTGGAACCCTGGGTCCCTCACCTAATGCAGTGGTTCTCAGTGCGGTGTCAGGGCCCGGGAGTCTTAGACACCCTTTCGAGGGTCTGCAAGGTCAAAACCAATCTCATAATAATATAAGATGCTTTCCGCCTTTTCCCCTTCATTTGCCATCGGGTATAAGAGATAGACAGTCTGCTGATGTGCCTTCAGAGTCCATATCACAACTAACATTTAGGAAAAACCACATGCTGAGTTTGGGTGTATATCAAAGAAAACCACCAAGTACGTGGGGAGGCTCTCACGACGCTCCCCCCTCGTCCGGCCACATGGGCGTGACGTCAGAGATTCTCACTACGGCCCCAGCCAGCAGGCCACATGCAGAAGCCAGAAGCCAGCTATCCCCCATTAAACAAGACAACAAAGACATCTGTAAAGATGTAAAACAATGTCACTCTTATCACTGACTCTTCTTGTTTGGAAAATAGTTATTTTGTATAAAAGTATGCTATTCATGTTGCCATGTAATGGGGCTTGTTACTGTCATCTCATCATGTGGTGGATGTCAGTAGACATGGCCTCTACCTGGGCCAGAGCAAATCGGGGTATTCGGTCTCTTGTGACAGTGTCAGCAGGCCCAGACCAGGCATTGTGGACCTCTGCACACTATAATCTCAGGGAGCCTCGGCCACTGCCCGCCCGAGTGAGCCTTCACTCTCAACCCCAAGGCCCAGCAGTCTCACTACTGTCTCATTTGCAGCACAGCAGAGTGGAGGCAGCTGGGGACCAGACCCCAAGATTACCACGGTGTGTGGCTGCACCCTGCACAGGGGCACCCAGCCCCTGCTGGGTGACCCTGCAGTGCTGGGGGCCTGCATGGACGCACACACATCACATCGCTCCATCACACTCAAAGAAAGAACAGCAAGGAGGCAACTGCTCTGTCTGAGCGGGGTCAGAACCAGGGAGGCCATGATGGCCACGCGCAAACCCACGCCAGCCAGTGGGAGCCACGGCGGGGGTGGCAGGGAGGAGTGTGGAGAGGAAGGGTGTGTTGCAGCCCCTGAGACAGAGACGCGGGGCCACACAGGACCCCAGGGGCCGGGCCAAGCCCCGCTGCACCTGGCAGTCCCCCTCCCTCCCCAGGGCCAGCCAGCGAGGACTCACTTAGCGCAGTAGAGAAAGTGGTCCCTCCAGTCCACTTGAGAGGTCTGCCCGGTCAGCGTCTGGTTGGCCGTGAGCAGCAGGCGCGTGCGATTGTTCTGGAAATACTGCAAGAGGCTGTTGACACAACAGTCGGAGAGGCTGGTGTTGTGTGGGTTGAGGGGCGCGAAGCACACATCCTGCAGCGACACATTGCGCTGCTCCTCGGGTGACCACACCTGCAGGTGTCGCAGCGTCTCCTGCAGCTCCAGCACCTCCAGCAGGACGTCGGGGGCCAGAACCCCACTGAAGTTCTTGGGCCCCAGCAGCAGGGAGTTGTAGCTGGAGCCAGGCCGTGTGGGTGCCGTCAGGATCACCTGGTTGGTCCGCAAGAAGGGGCCGAAATGCTGGTCATGAAACTCCTTCTCTCTCCGGGCCTGGCTGCTGGGGGCCGACCACAGCTCCACGGGGTCCGTGGTCAGCTCCATGAAGGCCAGGCCTCCTGAAAAGGCCACCACCACGGCGATGGACACCAGCAGGATGCTCAGCGGCCACGAGGCCACCCATGTGCCCCAGCCCTGGAAGCACCGGCTGAGGAGGCTATGCGTGGACAGGCTCAGTTTGTCAGAGAGGCTGGTGCCCACCGTGGGGTCCCGCATCTTGCCCTTGCCCCAGCGGGAGGCCAGGCGGGGCCCCACCAGGAAGGCGGTAAGTACAGCAAAGGCCGAACAGAGGGTGATGACGAGGGCCAGCCCGCCTGCCATCCGGCCCATGTAGAAGGTGGCGTCCAGGGCCTGGGGCCGGGCGATGGCGGGGCACGAGGCGGCGCAGTCTTGGCAGGAGCAGGCGGCTGCGCCGTCCGCCTGGGACTCGTTGCACGGTGCCACCTCCCCGTTCAGAAGCTGCACCCCACTCCCCGGCGTCTGACCAGGCTCCAAGAGGTAGAAGGTGATGTCCAGGGGGGCCAGGCCATTTCCTGTGTCCCCCTGGAAGTTGAGCCAGCGCTGAGCGTTGCAGAGGGCGGAGCCATAAACGCCACACATGGTGCCCACAGCTAGCGTGGCTGCTGCAGGGACACGCACCCGGCTGCATGAGTCGTAGGTCCGCCTGGCGAAGCTGCTCTGGTAAAAGGCCTCGTAGGCCACTACAGCTGGCGGCCGGCCGTCCCCGAGCCGGGCCACGCGTGTCACGTTGACAAACAGGCTCTGGTTGGGGCTGCAGGTGTTGTGGCAGTGCAGGCTCACGAAGTTGTCGGTGCAGGCGGGGCAGCGTGCGAGGAGCGCCTTGGTGACCGCCAGGCTCGCCTCCAGGGACACCAGCTGCTTGGCGGAGCAGCAAGCGTAGGTGGTGTCGGGGCCAGCGTACAGGCGGGGGCAGATGCGCCGCAGGAGGGCCAGGTGCTCGCCGGCCAGGAGGCGGGCGGGTGTGTTGGACAGGCAGGACACGTTGGCCAGGGGAGCCAGGCCTCCGGACAGCTCTGGGTTCTTGCCACACTCGTCGTAGAAGGCGCAGTAGCCAGACCGGTGGATGGGTGTGTACAGCTCGGCCTGGGCCTACGGCGGGATGCCATCACCATGGGGCCCAGCGCCACTCGCAGCGGATGGCCTCAGGGCAGGGGCGGGCATGGGGTGCACAGCCCGAGGACCTGGGGAGGGACGGGCGCTCCCGCAGTTTTCAGGGCGTGATGACTGGACAAGCCAGGCCTGTGTCCCAGGTGATGGGGTTACTGAGGAGAGGGAGGTGGCCAGCAGACCTGCATTTAGCAAGGTCATGCCGGAGGGTGAGGAAACAGGTGGGGAGAACGGCAGAGCGGGGCGGGGACACCCTTGGAGGCTGCCACCTAGTCCTGCTGAGAAACGGCAGCCACGACAGGTTGGGGGGCTGCAGGCTGCATCTGGGGGCCCAGGGCCCCTCTGGGAGATTCTGTGCAGACCTTCCCTCACCTGCTTGGGGCTGACAACCTTCAGCCGCCCCCCCCCCCCCAGACGTGCCACAGCCCAGGAACTCCTCCCCACCTAGCGTTCAACCCTCATTGGGTGATTCCCATGCACCCCCAGCCCACCCCAAAGGCATCCCACGATGGGACCCTCCTTCGTCCCTCCACTGGCCACCTGAGGCCAGGACATCCGCGGGCACCAGGGATGGGAGGCACACAGGCACCCCCTATCCCCAGCACTCGTGTCCACCTCACCCTATGACCCTGAGCTATGGGCCACCCAGGACCCCCGCCCACACTCCTCTTTTGGGGCGCCTGGGGTCCCTCATCTATCCACAGACCAGCCCCTCAGAGTCAGGCCCTTCTCACTGTGGCCAAGCAGCCCCCTGCCCGACAGTTCTGCGGGCAGCAGTGGAGGGGTGACCACTGGCACCGGGACTCACCGAGTGCAGGAGCAGGGCCCATAGCAGCCAGCCCCTCAGTCCGGCCTCCGCCATCCTGGCTCTGGGAAGGCGTCTAGGGGAGAGGGGCCAGGCCACGGGGACAGCTGAGGGCTGGCTCCTGGGGACACACAGTGCCGGACCAGGCAGCACATACACTTAACCCGGGGGTGCTCAGCAAGGCAGCGTCCCCGTTGGGGAGGGCCTGACCTGACTGGTCGGGGACCAATGGGGCTGAGCCCCACAGCTCCCAGCTGGTTAATGATCCACCTTCTGCCCTCCCACCTGAGTCCCACCCTCTCCACGAGCCTCCAGGGGAGGTGCTGGGGTCTCCCCTTCATCTGCTTCCCAAAGCAAGGACTGGCCCCCAGAACCCCTGCTCGCCACAGCCTGCCCCCCCTCACCCAGCCCAGCCCAGAGCCCCTCTCTCTCAGCCCCCTCCTGGGAGCCAGCCAGCTCCGGCTGGGACACACCTTTGCACTGTCCAGCTTAGCAACAGTTAATTAATATTAACAGCCTGATAACAGAGGGGACTGTTATGGGTGGAGTGACCAGTGACAAAGCCCCCTCTGGGTGGAGGGGGCAGACCATCTCCCGAGGGGTCTGACAGTCCTAGAGGTCCCAGATGTGACAGCCACAGCCCTCCTCTGCCTGCCCGGCTCTCCCATCTCGTCCCCCTCTCTACTGTCCCTACAGGGGCAGAGTGTCAGCGGGAGCCCCAGGTGTGCAGCAGACACCTTCTCTCCCTCCCCCGGGCTCTCCCTATCACCAGATGGGCCAGACCTTGGCCCCTATGCCAAGGCTGAGCTGATAAGGGAGCCTGTGGGGAGCGACTCCTGTCGCCCGCCCGCCTCTGCACAGCAGGAAGGAAACGTATTTCATGGACCCTGGCCTGACTCAGAGGAGCCATGCAAGCCGACAAGCCAGACAAGCTGAGGGGGCTCAGGCCCCTCCCCAGGCCCTGAGTCAGCCACAGGTTGGGGAAGAATCCGGCCCAGCCCGGGGCTGTGCTGGCTGCCGGCCGCCATCCAGTTCCCTGTGGGCCCAGCCCCCTGTACACCTGCTGCCAGATGCTGAGACCCCAGCCCCACTTGGGGTCTCTGTCCCTGCTCCTGCGTACCCTCCCCAAGAAGCCCACCTGAGACAGGGATTTCCCTGCAAATAGTTTACTGAGAGGCGACCCCCCATGGCACCAGCAGGGACGGGGAAAGGGCAGGAAGCCACATGGGCACCCCGGGGCTTGCCAGGGACTCCTGGAGACTGTGGGGCACATACCGCATCTCCTCCAGTGGCCTGTTGGGGACCTGTGACAGCTTTAGCCCCAGGCTTCTCTGGTGTGTGGAGCCACTGCCCCCTTAGTCCTAGTTGTGTCCCAGCAGAGGCTGGCAGATGGAGGCCCCCAGAGACGGAAGAGCCATGCAGAAATGAAGGAGGCTTGCAGAGGCAGTGGGGTGGGGGGGGAGGCCCACAGAGGCAGGGGGCAGGGAGGGGGTAGGCCCAAAGAGGCAGAGCCCAGATGCGTGGTCTGGGGTCTTCCCTGAAACACACCCAGGGTGAAAGCAGACATGGGCTCTGAGCAGATGAACTTGCTCTCCACAATCCCACCTCGGCATCTCTGAAGTCACACTGCCACCCAGATCTGAGTTGTGTGTGTTCGCTCTTGACTGCCAATCTTTCTTCTTTGAGCACACATCCCCCACGCCTCCTTCCCTCTGATCAGTGCATTCCCTCTGGCTTGTGTCCTACAGAGTGACAGATCCAGTCTCCAGGAGCCGGAGGCTGGGCATCCCATTAGTTTTGGGTTAATGTCTTCATGCCCAACTCTATTTTCCTTGACTCCACATTGATGTAAACCGAGACCCTAGAGATGAGGCTAGTGCGCCAGCGTAGCAGGTGCGTGCTAAGTGCACGGCCCAGGAGCTCTTCCCGTGCACTAATCTAGAACACGTCGAGTGATTACCACACTCTTGCTTCATAGTATGCGGTTTAGGGCTCAGATGACTGAACCCCCAGGACTGAAATGCTTCCCACAGATGCCAGCAACCCAGTCAGCAGCCTCACCTTCACCGTCTATTGCATGTTGTCAGACTGGACAAACAGAGTCAGTAAGATGACACCTCGTTTCCCGCTCTCCTTTGTTTCCAGGGAGAGGGGTGTGCCTGCTCAGGCTGGACAGGAGTGAATGGGGCAACAGGGGTGGGAGGTGCCAGCTGCCTGCAGGGAAGCCCCACGGGGTCTGGTCTGGTGGATGCCTGGCAGTCTGTCCCAGTCCTGCACTGCTGGCTTGCTGCAAGGTCCAGGGGTGAGGCTGTGACGCTCAGCCAGCCTTTGGCTGGGGCCATGGCACCTGGCTGGGTGTGTGCCGTGCACTGACCAGCCCACATGGTGGCCAGCCTGCAGGGGAAGACCAGGGGTCCGGTCACCTTGGGGCAGCCTTCATCTTCCCCATTGTCCAAACCCTGCCACTATTTGCTAAGGACTGTGTCCTCTGCTCTCCCAGGTTCCTCTGTAGCTGGTGGTGGCCCTGGGACCTGATTCTGGCCCACATGAAGGTCTTTTCTTTTTACATAGGTGTCATTTTCTTTGAGCAGTCTCATGTTTGCAAATTAAAAAAGTGAGCAGAAAGTACAGGAGCTCCTGTAGACCCATCACTTCCCCACAGCCCATTACTCTTACATTTGTGGGGCACATCCGCCGCAATTGATTACCCCATAGCGACATGTTATCAACTCAAGTCCGTGGCTTACGTTAGAGTTGTCTCTTGTCTCAATACTCTGGGGGATGTTACAGATACGCAGTGAAATGGGACCACTATCCTATCATACAGAATAGTCTCTCTGCCCAAAAACCCCATGCTCCACCTGTTACTCGCCCTTCAAACCCCCGACAGCCACAGCTCTTTGCACAGATGCTATTCTGCATGGCAAAAGACACATAGCCTGGGGGCGCCTGGGGGACTCAGTTGGTTGAGCGTCCGACTTCGGCTCAGGTCATGATCTTGCAGTTCCTGAGTTCGAGCCCCGAGTCGGGCCCTGTGCTGACAGCTCAGAGCCTGGAGCCTGCTTCAGATTCTGTGTCTCCCTCTCTCTCTGCCCCTCCCCTGCTCATGCTCCGTGTTTCTCTCTCAAAAATAAACATTTTTTAAAAACTTAAAAACAAAAGACACATAACACAAACATTCCTGTCTTACCCATCTATAAGCACACAGTTCAGTGTATTACGTATGTGCGCTCCATTGTGCAGCCACTGACGTCGTCCATCCTATGAATATGAACTCCTGTCCCTGCCAAACCCCGACTCCCCCAGCCCCTGGCGACCGCTGTTCTGCTTTCCATCTGTCCAATTTTGGCCACTGCATGCACCTCACATGAAGGGAATCACACAGTACTTGTCTTTCTTGTGATTGGCTTATTTCATGCAACATCACATCCTCAAGATTTGTCCATGTAGTAGCAGGTGCCAGAAGTTCCTTTTTAAAGGCTGAGTGATATTCCGCTCTGTGGACACACCACACACTGCTTATCCAACCATCCATTGATGGACACTTGGGGTGCTTCTGTGTTTGGGCCACTGTGAATAATGTTATGGATATGGGTGTGCAACATCTCTTCCAGATCCTGTTTCAAATCTTTGGGGTACAGTTCTAGACGTGGAATTGCCAGGTCATACAGTGATTCTATTTTTAATTTTGTGAGGAACCAGCATACTGTTTTCCACAGTGGCTGCGCCATTTTATACTCCCACCAACAGTGCACGGGGACATTCAGGTCCTCGATCTTCAAATTTTCCACGTGGTTTCCTGTTGTTTCAATGGCAGCCATCTTGATGAGTGTGATGTAGTATCTCACTGGGTTTTGATTTGTATTTCCCTGATGATCAGTGATACTGAGAATCTTTTCATGTGCTTATTGGTCATTCCTACATCTTCCCTGGAGAAATGTCTATTCAAAATCTTTGCTCATTTTGTAATCAGACTGGGTGTTTTTAAAATTATTTGTTGAATTTAGTTGTCATAAAATCTGGATATTAATCCTTTATCAGATACGTAGTTTGCATATATTTTCTTCCATTCTGTAGCTTGCCTTTTTACTCTCTTGATAATGACCTTTGATATGTAAGATTTAAAATTTTTCATGAAGTCAAATTTGCTGATTTGCTAACTGTGCTTTTGGTGTCATAGCCAATGAATCACCGACAGATCCAATGTCACAAAGCTTTTGTTTCTTCCAAGAGTTTCATAGTTTGAGCTGTTTCATCTTTGATCCATTTTGAGCTAATTCTTATGTTAGTACGGGTCCAACTTTGTTCATTATTTCACAGAGTGGATATATATTTTTCCAAGCATTTCATGAAAAGACTGCCTTGGCTACCTTGTCAAAAGTCATTTCACCTTATTTGCAAGGGCTTACTTATGGGCTGTTCATTCTATTCCACAGTCTATACGTCCATCTTAAGTCAGCACCACTGTCTTGATTACTCTATTTTTGTGGTAAGTTTTGAAATCAGGAAATGTGATGTCCTCAAACTGTTCTTTTTCCAAGTTTGTTTTTGTTTTGTTTCATTGGTTACTTGAGGTCTCTTGAGGTTCCACTATGAGTTTTAGGATAGATTTTTCTGTTTCTACAAAATATGACTTTGGGATTCTGATAGGGATGCATTAAATCAGTAGCTCACTTTGGATAACAATATTATTCCAACCTGTCCATGAACACTGGATTCTGTTCCATATTTACATCTCCTTTGATTTCTTTTACCAATGCTTTCTCATTTTCAGTGTATAGATCATTCACTTCCTCAATGAAGTTAATTCCTAAATATCTTATTCCTATTGATGCTATTGCAAATGAAACTATTTTTCTCAATTTCTTTATCAGATTGTTCATTGTTCTTGTATAGAACTGATTGTTGTGTGACTTTGCAACTTTGCTAAATTTATTTGTTCCAACAGGTATTTTTGTGAAGTCTTTAGATTTTTTTTTAATTTTTTTAATTTTTTTTTTAAATTTTAAAGTGTATTTAGTTTTGAAAGAGAGAGAGAGAGAGAGAATGGGGGAGGGGCAGAGACAGAGGGAGACAGAATCCAAAACCGCTCCAGGCTCTGAGCTGTCAGCACAGAGCTCAATGCAGGCCTCAACTCACAAGCTGTGAGATCATGACCTGAGCTGAAGTGGATGCTTAACCAACTGAGCCACCCAGGCGCCCCTTGTCTTTAGGGTTTTTTATATAAGACCACATCATTCACAAGCAGAGATCATTTTACTTCTTCCTTTCCAGTTTGGATGCTTTTCTTCTTCTTCTCTACTCCCTGCTCTGGCTGAGAATTCCAGCA